CGCGTGCCACCTTCATATTTCTCAACAATCTCTTTTTTCAGTTCCGTTGTGATTCTAGTCATTTTTTTATTTTTCTGTTGCCCTTTTGCAATTCATGATTAATAAAAATAATAAAATGTTACTTACAAATTAAAATCAGAAGAAATTTAACAAAGTTATAAACCGTAGCACCGCGAGCATCTAGTCTAGTGTAGTACACCGATAGTGCTACTTGTTCATAGATGGCGCGTATAATTGAATTAAGTCGTATACCGAAGAAAAGTCGTATACCGAGCAAAATTTGTTTCGTCCAAACAGGACGTATTCCGAATTGGACGTATTCTAAAGCAGACATATACCGAGATTCCACTGTATATATACTAAGTTATTGTATTTGCAAGAAAATAAACAGTTACAAAACAGTAACTACACATGGTTATAATTAATGTTGAGTTAGTAAATGCTGTTTACAGAGCTATTTAGCAGCGGAAATGAAACAAATTTTATACGATGACATTTTTAGTATAGGAAATCAGGTTTTAGTGATCACCAATCTTTCCATATCTCGTCTCGGCTTTCATTTATCTAACTACGATTTCGAGAATAAGGAAGAATAGATAGGCAGCTAGCCAGAGGACATTGGAAACTAATAAGTGTACAATTTTTAAATTCTGAAAAATATGACTATCATGTTTAATAGCTGATTATAATTGATTTTATGTGATGGTTCAGTCTTCAAAATGGAGACTACATTTGGTAGTATTTTATGCACGAATCACCTTCACATTTGTATGATTGTTTTTTACAAATACTCTGATGAATTGCTATCGTGTTATATTTTCGAAATGATCTTGTCATCACATAACCTGTAATGTCATCGTTTCAAATTTGATATAATTTAAATAGATGAATATTTGAACATACAAAATTTAAAAGCATTTTTAAAATAGAAAAGACACAAAAGTAGAGGAAAAGGTGGTATTATGGAACACTGTGAGTATCATGAAACCACCCCATTTCTAAGTGATAATAAAGGCGAACTGTAGCGGATTGTGGATGAACTGAATTAGGCAAACATCCATAGCAAGGGAAAAACCCGTTTTACTTCAAATAAACGGTTGCTCGTATTTAATCAGCACATTTGTTTTTTTCGAAATTTGCACGTTTTGAATACTAAGTGAATTTAATTATTTTTAAAATATAAATCGTATAGTTGTAGGTTCACTGGTGCATGTATTCTGTTCCAGAGACTTAGGGATACATATTAATCTGTGTGATTTTCATGTTTTTTAAAGTTTCGTCTTGACAGATATAAGTAAATTCAAGATGGCGATTCGTAAAATACGAACTTAATTGATGCTCTTACAGTAATACGGTATGGAACTCAACTCCTCCGAACTCTCTCTTTGCAAGCAGACATTCGTCCGGAGCAATTTGGAAAAAGACATTAGGTAGAAAGTTAATTCTTCCTGAGAATATCGAAAAATAGCTGATGGAATATATATTGTTGACGGAAGTCATATCTTTCTATTATAAAAGCATTTTTGCGATAAAATACATTGGAGTAAATAATTTTGTAATTATTTAACATTTTTTGTACTTTCGTATTTGTTTTTGTTCTACATTAAAGCATTTTTTCAAAATATACAGTAAGGTTCCATATTACCATCCGATTGTCTCTAAACCTACTTTCTGACTTTTTGTACAGAAGCCTTTAAAAACCATACTTATAGCTAAACTAGCGAAAATTCCAATTAGAAACATTTACTTTAATAGTTACCAGTACTTTTCGCACAAAAAATGTGGGTGTTGTTATGATACCTTGTTAAAAATCTTTCCTGTGGCGATGGCACAATTAAACAATACATAATGAACTTGATATAATTCTATATTAAAAATATATTTAGTTTCGTATGTTTAAACTTATTTATCTGAACATCTATTTTATTAAATGTTAAATATCTTTTTACTTAGCGTTTAATATGGATGTTTTAATTACGGTCACCTGCTATTGTATTAAAGACATAAAAATTTAAAGAGAATTATAAAAAGTTTAAATTGCATAAAAGTGAATTTGCATAATAATCTTAATTTTTTATTTTTTGAATTTAACAAGTTTGCGTATATCTTACCTGATTAAGAAAAAACTTTCAATGAATACAAGCGAATTAGAAGCAATTTCTATTGGTATGTAATTTACTATTCTTAAAAAATTTAAACGTTTTTCTGCAATAAAGTTTAAAATAATATTTAAAAATTATTCACTTATTGACGTATATTTATATTTTAACACTTCAGATACAAGAATATTCAGTTCGATTAATAATGTTATCGAAATGAAATTAGATATGTACAACTATAAAGAAAAAGTTGAAGATTGATAATAAAAGGAAAAATATATACAATTAATAATTCGGTACTATATTAATATTGAAACAAAACATTATAAAAGTTTGAAGGTTCAAAACATTATTAAAGCAAAACATTTTAAATTCAGTTTTGAAATAGTAGATAACCATGTTAAATAAATAAATGTTTTACCGAATTGTCAGACCTATTAACATTTAAGAATAAACTGGTGTCCCTTTAGAAACAACGGTAAGAGAATAATGTCATAAAATATAATTCTGATATAACAAGACACTTTTCTACAGTAAAATATTATCTTTCGGGAGTTCGAAAAATAATATAATTAATTATTACAAAACATAATTACCGAAAACGGACGGTATTAATTCTGAGGTTGACATAATGTGACCAAATATAATACAATATATCAATAAAACTTTGATTCCACTTAGAGCTTTTGTCTTCTCGTAAATGTTGCTGGAAAACAATTTACTTGAAGTGGTCAGTGCCGATATGGAAACAACAATATCAAATATTTTTCCTATAAATAAGATGTGTTAAATTATTAATAATAATGAAAAGTATATAAATTATCTGCAGAGTAACTTAAAAAATGAACATCTATATATTCTTTCAAATTATACGCAATTGACTTACCGTTTACCCTTTCCATGCTAACTATTTGTAATTTCAACAAAGTATGAACGGATGTTGCTAAGATTATGCAAACTATTAAAGCTCCGAACACGTTTCTACAATAAAAATAAATTTCTTGTAAAGAGTTTTGTTTAATTTACGCACACTTATCTAAAGAATAAAATATAACGATTTTCGAAAAACGATTAAAATAAATGAAAATCATAAAGATCGATTAGTTTTTAGAAATAAATGAATTAAATAACTTATCCCAGTAAGTGACCATGATTTAAAGTTATATGGTCATTCATTGCCGCATATTAAAATAATTTGAAATGAAAATCTAAAGTCATTTAAATTTAACTTTTAGATAAATTCAAAATGGCAGATGACGTAAATAAAACGAAAAAAGTCTACAGATGTTTTTAATATAGTGGAGAAGATTTGTATGCAGCTGTAGAAACAGTACGTAAAAATGAAATAAGTGCTAACAAAGCTAGCAAAGAACTTAACATTCTATATGGAACTCTAATAAATAAATTCCATAAAAAAATACCAATGAAGCGAGAAATGGTCCCTGCAGCTACATTGATAAAAAGATAGATAGGAATTATACTAAAATAGCACCCTAATGTAGCAGCAAAGAATACAGAATGATAACTGATGCTTGTGCAGCTATTTCAGAAGAGATGATAAGGAATTGGTTTCAAGAATAAGTTATTTGAGGAAAGAAAAGGCAGGTGATATACTTCCAAATTCTTTTCATATCTTCAATGCAGATAAGACTGGTATGTTATTTTGTCCGGAAACTGCGAAATTTGTAGGACCTAAACTATATAAGAACTTTTTATGACATTGCATCAGGACAAGAAAACAGTGTCACAGTTTTATGTATTAATAATTTCTGAGCAAGTGTCCAATCAGTGGATCCTATGACAGTGTTTCCATACAAAAGAATTCCAAGAGATATTGCATATTCAGTTTCAAACGACTTTTCTGTAGGCAGAAATGATTCAGGATGGATGATAAGTACCAGATTTTATTAGTTTATGTTGCAAATGTTTTTTAAGCATGACTTCTAGATAAGAATATCAGAAAACACAAACAACAATCATAAAAATTAGTTTACAAAACTAACTTTGCAGTTTTATTCTTCGAAGCTCACGAGAAAGCTTTGAAATTGAAAATAATTCAACATGGGTTTGAAACATGAGGTTTGTTTTCTTTTGATCTAAATAATTATCCGACCCCCGATTAACCGACACCGCGGTTAACCGACTGTCCTAGTCGGAAAATTTCAAATGTACGCTAGTGATGTGGCGCTACAGTATTTGGCTATGTCTTGGCTACTTTAATATTATTTTTACGCGTTTTAGCTGGCAACACTCATTCGACCATGAGAGGGAGCCAGTATTTAAACGAGGCTTAAGTTTCTAATTTTTAACGATACAATAGCGACGATTATTATTTTTAAAAATTTTTGTTAGGCTTAACATCGATGAAAATTCAACGCGAAGTAGATTAATAGCGATATACTAATATACTAAATACATGGGATATAATAAGATACTACACTAATAATGGATTTTTTAATACTTTTCGGTTATCCGACTTTTCAATTATCCGACCAACCCCAGTCCCCAATTGAGTCGGATAATCGAGGCTCTACTGTAGAATAAATTATTCAAAAAGTATTTCTACTAGGCGCAAGGAATTGTTTCCCGTAAATAAACACGATTGTTCAATTAATTATGGAGAACCATATAAATGTGAACTGCAAATGATAGAAAATAATATTACACTTAATTTGTTATCAGATTTTAAGGAAGCAACTACATTTGATAACAACCAGATAAATTTAGAAAATTATTATCGCAATAATATCTATGTACTAGCAGACCTCGCCACGCGTTGTTGTGGCTCAAAATGTATCTATTATAAATTTATAACACTTCTCCCGTGGGGGAGGATTTTTCGAAAAATTTCTTGTTAGTGTACATTCTGTTGATGTACCCTATTAAAACGCAATCAAAAACTAGCAATAATCGCACTTCAGCTCAAACCTCACTAGTAACGATATCGCCTCTGCGCAAAGCTGAACGCAATCAAAAACGCAAAAACCCGCATCTAAAATAGTATAAACAGAAGCAGAGTTCTTTACCGTAAGCCTTAATCCTAACCATCTCCCTTTAGTGGGTTTAATTTCGACATGTATATTATGTAAAAACACGTGCGTATTCGAATGCAGCGTTGTGTCAAAATTTCAAAAGAATCGGTAGGAACAAACGAACATTACATTTTTATTTATATAGATAGATAGAAGATGATCTGCTGTAGTTCATTTTCACAGAAAAGCATAATGCCTCACAGAAAAGCAAACTTACGGCGTCGTACTCGTAGCGCCATCTGTTGGACATAAAAGCCTTAACCATAAATGATATCATTTAATTTATATGAATGTTTAACGGAATAATATAAGGCCTATGTCCACCCTGAAGGTCCATTCTAAATACTCGTGAAAGAATTTTTGAAATCGGATGAGTATTTTCGGAAATTACCTGCTACATCCAAACTTACATACTTACAAACATTACCTCTTTATAATATTAGTATAGATTAAAGACACTTTTGTATAGATTATCAAACTGATCATTTGTATATAATATTGTATATATTATATTTTTAAATTAAAGCTGTTTTTTTTTAAATCTAATATTTTTATTATAATTTTTTAATTTGAAATTACCTGGCCGAAGTAAATAAAATTGGCAACATATATATGGTATACAATGGTATAAAATTTTATATAGTACCCTAAAACTCTAATAATTCATTATTAGTCACTTTCGGTCATTCACTAGCCGTTATCTGGTTAATTACTAAAGCGATATGGTCATTCACTAGTGATTTTTAAATGTTAAAAACACCATGTCATTAATTTAATCAATATTACAGAAAAATAAACATTCGCTTTTTGAATGAGTACTGCGAACCTTCGGTAACCAGCAATGACCACTACTTATGTTATATGTTTGTTTGTTAATAGATTACATTCAAATTTTCTTGCCAAGGTGCTTAGTTGGTCATTGAATAGTGCAAATACCCTAATTCTAACTATTCTTCATCATTCTAATTTTCTTAATAAATCGTTTTCACCATTTAAATGATTTACATTTAATAGATGTAAAAGCAGTATTTATACAAGAAATATGAAAAAAATGTATGATAAAAAATTTCTGAACTGACTTATTATAAAAACGTAATTGAGTAAAATATTTCAGTTTGTTTATGAAGCTTGATACTGAAAGCTTGGCAACAATTACTTGATGGTCTGTGTGTTTCGTACATTTGAAGCATTCGTAATTTATCGTTTCGACAATTTTCAATGAAGGATTTACTTAAATTTATGCTTTAATATGAAAAAATCGTTTAGTAAGAGATTCTCGATGACATAAAACACTCCTGATGAAGCTTCAATAAAAATATCAACAGCATGTTCAAAATACAAAATTTTTAAAACAACTGCAGGTTCATTCGACTTTAATTCCATTGTTTTAAAGATCTGGTCAAAAACAGTGAGCCAACACTAGACTGTTATAAAGTTAAGCACTTGATATACGAAAATCAGAGGATAAAGATATGAGAGGTTGTTAAAGAAATCAGTGTCATACAGGCTATTTCATTCAATTATCCATAAAGTAGTTAATTTAAAAAACCTGCATAATCGCTTTGAAAATGTTGATGCCGTAGCAATAAATAAAACGCCAAATGTCTTCCAAAACAGGCTTCAGATAGTTTAAAAGAAAAACAACGTAATAACTAGTAATCAGATTTGAGTCTTTAGGAAAGATCCCAAGACAAAACGACAATCAAAGCAATAGTCGATGGACGGCAGCTGATCCCAAAGCGAAAAGAACGAGGAAATTCAACTACAAGATAAATTTTCTGCTAGTATCGTGTTTTGGCAGTAAATGTCTTTCTTAAATTTATGCTGGAAAGAGTGAAAATCGAAGTGAAAAAGTATGTGTCTATTTTTCGAAAATTGTGTAAAGCGCGGAAAAAAAAATTCGAAAGTGAATAGCCTTCAGTCGGTTTATACATCACGATAATGTTTAGCAACAAACATTTTATTTAGATTTTTTTTTCCCCGCTAAACTAACTCTTTCGTACTTTTTCAATCGACGTGGTCTATAGATTAAGGCCCAAATGTATTTTCGTTTTTCCAAAATTAAAGATATCGCAAAAAGGTAATAAAAATGACCAAATGGAAAATTTAGAGAATACTGCATAAAAATTGATTTTCTGCTTGTTGTCAGATGTCAAAAATATATACAGTCGACCCTCTATAACGCGGTAGATACGGTTCGCTTTATAAGAATTTCGCGTTGTAGGAGTCCTCAAATACATGAGCCAATCACAGCCCAGCACGTGTGCAGTATATAGACTGCAGGTTTTTGAAAGGTTTTTTTTTTCCATAAAATTAATCGATTCTAGACTAATTTCACTCAACATTTCCAAAACACGTATAATTTTTTAGGGAATAATCCGTATAAACTAGGCTATAAACAAAAAATTGTAGGATTACTTACCGAGTGTGCACTGTTCGACCACGCCATCGCTTAAGCTTGTTTTCGTCGCGGAGCAGCGCACCAAACGGCGACCGCGTATTCTGATAAGTTATTTTTCTGCGAAAAATTCGTTGATCTTCGGAGACATCATTAATAGAAATAATTTTTATTACCGTTGAATATGAAATGTTTTTTTCCACAAGAAATGTATAAAATTACAGTACTATATTAGACTTACAGTACAGTCGACTACCCATAACAAGAGTTGCTATAGTTCGGATTCCTATATCACGGCGAAATAATTGCGACAGTATTCGTACAAACATGCTAAAATAAACTCCTATAATTCGGTGAAACGTCATTCCTGACTCGTGTTGCGACAGGATTGCACAAACCGTCGAGTTTAAACGAGCAGCGGACCTACCAAAAACCATTTATTATTTATCGTCCATACAAATTATATTTGTATTAATGATGTCTTTAAAGTTCAGCGAATTTTTCGCAAAAAAAGCAATTTTTCGGGAAGCACGCGAGCGCCATTCGATGAC